TTTACTTCAACTATACAATACACCAGTTTTTACTTCAACTATACAATACACCAGTTTTTACTTCAACTAAACAATACACCGGTTCTTCAGCTCAGTTACAGTATATTATTGAAACTATTTCAGATAAAACGTAGCATAATATTACCAACATCTCACTTCAATCCGTACAACCTTTAAAAATTAGATGCTGATGATAATTAGACTATCTTAAACATGGTGTAGGAGGAACTGAATTAATTATTACAGAAAATATTTTTATATTTTTTTGTATATTCATAGATATCGAATTAAGTTAATGTGTAATTAAAAACATTATTCACCAAGATAGTGAAAATTTACTTTTGTGGTATAAAATCAGGTGTACAGCAAAAACATTTGTTGGGTGTATCTAAAAAAAACACGAAGAATACATCATTTGACGAGTACCATGAGTAAAAAATCAGTTAATTAGTTCTCACTTAATATTCGTAACAGTTTGTTTGTTTTAGATCAAAGCCACATATGACTATCTTCTGTATCTACCGCGGAGAATCGAACCCCGGATCTTAGCCTTGTAATACCGTAAATTTGCCGCTGTCCCACCAGGGGACTTCACGATGCGTCAAATAAATATAACTTGAAAAATATGACCACTATTCTTTAAAAATTGTTTGTTTTTTTTTAGTGTAAAGTTTCTATGAAGAAACGAACAAAAATTAGAACATAAATTTGACTAAAGAAGTAAACTCTTGAAAACAATATATTTGGTTATTATAAAAACATTTGGAAAGTGCGGGGAGTAAACTGTTTCCAAATAACCTTTGGGCTGTTTCTCCAGTTCCAGTATTTTTTTATACTGAGCATGACCAATAGTCGGCAGTAACCTCGTCGTTACTTTATTGGTTAATATTTCTCCTTAAAGTTTACTTAGAGCTGGAACTACGCCACCTGTTCGTATAAGTATTGGTTTTGTTTTGTATCAAATGTTCCTAACGCCAGTTTCATTAATAATATGTATTAATCGATGTTTCGGCTTATGAGTTTGACTAGATGACCCAACTTTGGACTGTCTAAAGACTGGATCATCCCGATGAAACGTTGATGACGATGAATTATTTATAGGATTTTAAAGTAGTGACGTTTTGTATAAAACACAAACAATATCAAGGATATTTCGATTAGCATTACACGGGTTAGAAGAAAGAAATCCGTAGCGTTGCTTGATGACTGGGTAGTTATTAGAGTGTAATAATTCATAGTTAAAGACCCAGAATGTAGTTATTAGCGTGTAATAATTCATAGTTAAAGACCCAGAATGTAGTTATTAGAGTGTAATAATTCATAGTTAAAGACCCAGAATGTAGTTATTAGCGTGTAATAATTCATAGTTAAAGACC